AGCTGCTCCGGGCAAACCACAGGGACCACCTGCTCCTTGTCAGGAAACACCCACCGGCCCCTTGCCAGCCCAAGGGCTGTTCCCCTCCCGCCCCTCCAGACCACAGAGGGGGTGCAGATTGAGGCCCCACATCCCCACTGAGCCCGGCCCCCCTCACGCCCTGCAGGAGCCAGGCAGGTGAGGAGAGGCCTGCCCGCCTCCGACAGAAATAATAAACCCCGGCGGGCGCTTTGAACCGGCTTCCAAATGAAGAGTTGCATCCCGGCTGTCAGGCCCCGCAGGCAGCCGCTCCTCCGCGCAGGATGGCGGCGCGGCCATCCATTAGGGTGATGGAGGCAGAGGCTGCCGCGCACGCCTTCCCTAATGAGCAGCCGAAGGGATCGGTAAGCATAATCTCACAGGCGGTAATATTTTATATAATCGCCGAGCAGTTTAAATTGAAAACCCCCAACTGAATCAATATTTACTGCATTGAAGCGAAATGAATAGTAATAAGTCACTAAGTTCCCTGTCCTGTTCCATAAAATAAAGAATTATAAAAATGAGCACGGCACGAGGCCATCACATTAGCTCTTATGGCACTTGGGGAGCCGTACCCGCCGGCCCGGAGACCTGCCTCAGCACCGCGGGGTCACCCCGCCACCCGCCTCTCCCGAGGCTCAGACCCCGCTCACCCCCCACCCCGTCCCCCAGGTCAGCTCCGCTCCAAGTCCCCTCCTGCCCCCTCACGATCCGCCACGCGAGGGGCCAGCAGGGACTGGACAGGGCTCTGGCCGGCTCCCCATCGGCAGCGGCGGGAGCAGGCGGGCACGGGGCTGGTGAGGGACCAGCGTGCCCTGGGCCGGGGCAGACTCCCCTCTGGGCTCCAGGTCCCCAGGGCATGGCCCGCAGCCTGCCGGGACGACGCGGCAGAGACCAGGCAAGTGAGACCCTGAGGGAGGGGCCCTGTGCTGAGCCCGGGCACACCCACCGCAGACTCCTGCCAGGAAGCAAGGCCTCGTCCGAGCAGGAAGCGGCTCGGCAGGGACATGGAGGCCCTGGCTCCCATGGTGAGCTCGCTCCTGCCAGAAACAAAACCGTCCACGCAGTTGGAGCTGGGCAGAGGCCGAGGTCTGTCAGAGGAGAGCGGCCACGTGCACCAGCACAGGCCACGGGACGCAAACCGAACCTGGCGAGCGCCATGGCACGTGGAGGCGGCGACCCTGAGGGGCAGCACTGGCCGCCACGGGACAGCGCCGAGGCCGTGGGAGGCGGCAGCTCCACGTGACCTGGCACTTGCGGCCGCAGGCCTGCGCTCGGCCCCGGGCAGCCGCAGAGAAGCCTGTGCACACAGCGGGGCCCGTCCACCGCACTCAGCACGGAAGCAGCTCCAGCGACCACACAGAGGACAGGCACAGAGGGGCAGACACGAGCGCCCGGCTGCGGCCAGGCCCTGTGGAATGGCTGGTGCAGCGGGAGGGAAGGCGGGGGCTCAGCCTGCAGGGTACACCGGGCTCTGGGTCACAGCATCGCGAACAGACACCCACACAAGGCGGGCTGGCCGGTGACGCCCAGGGAGGGGCAGGGCTGGGCCGACGCCCGGCCCGAGAACACCGGCAGCCACACGGTCAGGCTCCCAGGCTGCACAGCTGGCCACCGCACACCCACAGCCCAGAGGCACTGCTCGGAGCACTGGGCTCTGCTCCCACAGCAGCAGTCACCAAAGAAGACAGCGGGCTGAGGCGGGAGAGGCATGACCGTGACCATGACCCCGGCGGGGGGGCAGCACTCCTGATGGGCCACACTCAGTGCTGTCAAGGGGCACCAAGTCTCCACTCTTCCCCGGAAATCGGGCGAACAGAGAGGGGGTGTGAGGAGCAGCGGGGACCAGGTGTACCCGGTCAGTGACCCCAGTGAAGTGCAAACGTGCATCGAAACAGTCACCCAAAAAATTAAGAGCACAAACTATCAGGAGAGGGACAGGGCCTGAGCCGGAGTCCCAGGTGCACAACCAGCATCCTTCCTCCCCTCCCCCTGGCAGCGGCCCTGGCTCCGGCTCCTGCCCTCCCGCCCGGCAGCCTCGCTGTCTGGGAAGCTCTTCCTGTGGCCACTGCCCACAAGGCGCTACAGCGGGGAGGGGCAGCCGTGGGTCCACTGAGGCCAGCAGCCATAGAGCAGGTCTGCCTCGGGTGCCCCATGGGCAGCCGGGTGCCCCGTGAAGTGGCTGGCACTGCCATGTGTGGCTTCCAGCAGGCTCCGGGGCTGGGCCGGCTCCTGCACTCGACCCTGCTCTGCCTTCTGCAGCTTCTGGGCTCCTCCAGCCACGTGCTCCTGCGTCGGGGCGCCCTCTGTGCCTGGCACTCCCACGGACCCAGCAGGCCTGCTGGGCCTTCATGCACTCCGCCTCCAGGCAGGCAGCGGGCGGTGGGAGCCAGCTCCACAGCCTCCTCACCACAGGACACCCTGCTGTGGACGGATTGGTGTCCCCAAACTCCTGTTTGGTTGTGATGGAATCTGGAGGTGGGGCAGTAGAGGTGACTAGGGTTGGATGAGGGGGTGAGAGTGGGCCGGGAAGGTTTAGGGTCCTCACAGGAGGGGCTCAGCGAGGAGGTGGCCGTGTGCAGCCGGGAGGACTGGCCCGGCGCCGACCCGAGGCTTCCAGCCTGCGCAGCTGAGAGACAACGCACCAGGAAGCCACCGGTCTGGGCCTGTGAGGGCGCCCGTGTGCCCCACGTGGTGGAGCAGTGCCCGGCCTCGGCCTCGCTGGCCGCCAAAGGGGGTGTGCATGCCGGCGAGGGGCCGGGGACCTGGCTCCCGGGGGACCTGCACGTCCTTGGCTGAGCTCCTCCTGAACGAGACGCCACTTTGGAGAAGCATTTCAGAGCCTTCAAAACGGCAGCCCAAACCCTCAGGCCAGAGCCCCCAATCCGCACAGACACAAAGTGGAACAAGATGAAGCGGCCGGCGAGGCAGCGCCGTGACAGCCCATTTGTAGCCCGAGGAGAGCTCAGGCGCAGCGGCTCCTGCGCGGCTGTTTATTTCCCACTTTCACATCAAATGAATTTGGGAAGAAAGAAAGTGACAGGCGGTTTAGGGATATAAGTCACACTTCAGCCTCCGTCAGATTAATGAACCTGCCGGAGCCAGTGAGGACGCAGGCAAACCCACAAATCTTACAGCAAAAGCATGCAACCCCGCTCAGGAGCCTCAGCCCTGGGGTGCCCTCTGCTGCCCCCCGGACCCCAGGCCTGGCAGATCCCAAGCACCAGGGCCAGTCTGGGCAGCAGTAGTCTGGAGTCCTGGGGGCCTGGCCAACTCCTGTGGCCCCGGATCCAGGTCCGCCTGGACCCGGTAGGCTGCCTGGAGAGCTCAGGCCTGCAGCTGCACAGGGCAGCAGTCAAGGGAAGGGGTCGGGGACTGGGCCACTGCCGGTCAACTGCAGAGCCTCCCTCTGGTGAAGCTGAAGGCATGGTAGGTGGACATCAGACTGGCCACTGGCCCTGGAGAAGGCCCTTCCTGCTGCCTTGACGAGCCGAGCCCGCCATGCACCCCTGACGGGCTGGGCAGCTGGCGAGCAGCCGCTGGCTGAGCAGGCAGCTCCGGCCAGGACGCAGGTGACTTTGGCGAAAGAAGCCCACCCCCTGGCAGCACTCAGTCCTTGGCACCCTGCACTACCCACCCTGCAGGCCCGGGCTCTGCGCTCAGCTGTGTCCCGGGTCCCTGCGGCAGGGTAGACAGGCTGGGGGAGGCAATCAGGGCAAGGGAGGCCCACTGAGCACAGCCCCCGACGCGCCTCCTCCCACAGGGGCGGGACTGAGGCCTGAGAGCCACGCCAAGGCTGCAGGAGCCAGGGCATCCAGACAGCAAGGCGACTGAGGCGGGAGCCCCATCCACCTTCCCCGTGTGCCCCACACACCTCCCCGCAGGGCACACGGGCTCCTCGGGGCCAGGCTGCTCACCATCCTAAGGGCTTGGAGCTCCGCTGAGGAGCAGGGCAGCACTGCTGGGGTGCCCGAGGCCACCGCCCTCCCCCAGTAACCTTCACCCACTGAGCTGGCCACTTACTCAGTGACACTCCCATCAGGCCCCAGCTAGACCAAAGCCTAACCCTTCCTGGTGCTCAGAGGCTGGGAGGAGAGGCCCCGGGGCCACCCTGGAGGCGGGGCCTGGCCAGCAGGTGGGCGGGAATACCTATGGCCGAGGAGAGGCAGGAGGAAGAACCAATAAATCTGAACCTCATTCCCGACGATCTCTTGTTAAGTAAATTAATTTAAGGTAATTCAGCTCGATCCTGACTCCCGATCACAGTGATTTAGTGAGGGGGAAATTGCATTAGGAAAAAGGCCACGCGCACCAGACAGAAGAACGGAAGAAAATTAGACCCACTTAGCACTGTGAATTAATATGGAAATAGCAGGTGTAAATTTAACCTTATCGAGAGAGCGAAAATTATCTTCATAAATTTGTAGAAATAGCCCCCAAGCTGCTTATAAATCTATTTAAAACAAAAATATTACAAAAAGTGCAGTAAAATTAACTTAAAATATACTCCCAGCTCTAGCCCCGGAGCCGCAGGCGAGGCCAAGCTCCCTGAGGCTCGGTGGGGCGGGAGGAGGGCCGTGGGCAGCATGGGTGCCGCGGGCACCGTGCCGCGGGCAGGCTGTGTGCCCACATCTGCGGAGGCGGAGGGAGCACCCTCTGGCCACAGCCCGAGCCAGGCGGTCTCAGAGGGGCCGACACCACACTCAGCCGAGGCGGGTGGCGTGGGCGGGCTGAGGCATCCCTCCGCCCTCAGCAGTCAGTGTACAGCCGACAAGATGGCCACGGGTCCCTAAGGGCTGCTCAGGGCCCAGCGCTCACCGCCAGTGCCTCCTGCAGGGCACCACAGCCTCCAGGGCCAGCTGATGGCTCGCCAGCCGCAGACTGGAGACTGGTGGCAAGCTCAGTGCCCTCGGCCTCAGGCCGCCTGCAGCCCTGAGCCCCTCCCGCCCGGCCCCAGGAGCCCAGGCAGGACCTCCTACCTGGACAGGGAGAGCCGCCGGGCCCGCCAGGAAGGCAGGGCCTGAGGGAAGGGGACTGTGCTGGACGGCAACGCCGGGGTCTTCTTCACAATGCGGTATCGCGTCTTGATCACTTTGCTGGTGGCCGGGGCGGGCAGGGCGCTCAGGTTGGAGGCTGCGGAGAAAACAAAAAGGCGGTCAGCGGAGGCCGGCAGGGACTTTGCAGCCCGGCCCCCGAGGCTGTGCACACCCCACAGCCCAGCAGCTGGGCTCCAGGAAGAGCTGGGCGCAGGCCTCAGCCTTGAGCCGGCCCCCGGGATGCTGCAGGGGGGGGGGGGAGAGGCTGGTGCCCTCAGCAGCACCGCCCATGTCCCTAAGCCCAGGCTGCACCCAGGGTCCCTCAGGCGGACCGGGAGGCTGGGGGTGCAGGTCTGTGCACTTGGCCACGTCTGGGTGATGCAGGGTGCGTACACCGGCTTCCTTCCTGCTGAGGCTCACACACCTGCAGGCCTGCTCTGCCCGCTCCCTTCCACCTGATGCTGGCGATGACCCCCCAGCACGCCTGGGTGCCCGCCTGCCTCGTGTGCCGCTGCCCCGCCAGGCCACTAAGCTATCGCCCAGCTGTCCTGGGGCGGCTCCCCGCCCCCCACTGCCTGCACGGCACCTCGGGCTCTGCTCCAGGGCTCCCTGCCAGACCCCAGCACAGGACTCCTCAGGGCTCTCCCCGGAGACGCCCTCACCAGGCAGCTCGGCCGGGCAGCCCATCGGTGGGGAGAGGTGGGCAGAGGCCGGGCATCTGTGCCAGGCGAGGCCTCGCTCCCGCCCGCGGCCCGCCGGCTGAGGGTCTGTGTAGATAGTCATGTTATTTAGATAGGATGCTGGTTTAATTCCCTTCATCACAGACTCCCAGGGCCCTAATTTTTTTCTCCACATGATGTATCCCCGTGGCACGTTTCACTCCGATCAAACCCTCTGCGCCTTTATTGCCGCCGCGGCCGGCACGTTATCAGGCCCGCACACGCCGCCTCCGCCCGCCGCGCAGAGGTCACTTCTAATGACTGATCGATCTCATTAGCTTTCCTAATTAAAACTTTACTACCGCAGTGGAAGACGAGCCGCACAAACTGCTGGCGTCGTGTGGGGACGGAGTATGAGCCCATCCATCAGCGGCCTCGCTCCGCACAGCCCCGCCGGCCTCTGGTTCCCACGCCCAAGGCCGCGGGCGCCCAGAAGCCCCCACACGGGGCAGCCAGCCGCTGGGACCGGCAGGCAGGCAGGCAGGCAGGCGCCAGAGCCCAGGCAGTCTGGTGTGGCCCCCAGCACTCACTGCCCTCTCACCAGCCCTGGGTGGCAGGGTCCCGGGCCCCCAGCACACTGGGCAGAGGCAGAGCCATCAGAGGGAGGCCGCGGCCCTCAGGGTCTCCCTGAGGAGCGGGAGCCAAGAGGGAGTTCAGGTTTTCGTGGAACTTCAAGGGCAGTAACGGGAGAGAAGGGATGACTGATCCCAGTCTTCATCGAGCGAGAAGAGCCCAGAGCTGCCGTCGGTGCAGAGCTGCCGTGGCCCCCGCTCGGGAGAAGGCTGCTCCCGAACCAGCCGAGCGGGGGGGGGGGGGGGGGGGGGGGGGGGGGCGCCACAGCGAGTCTCCCCGCATCCACCTGTCGCCCCACATGCCGATGGGGGCGGGGCATGGAGAGCCTAGAGGGGGCCAGGCCGGTCCCCAGGGGGCGGGCCAATGCGGCGGCCTCCATCCAGCACCATTCACTTTCTCCAGTTACTGCCACCTGGCCGGGCTCCGTCTGCCCACCGCCCGCCTCACCGGCCCAGGAGCTCAAAGGCTGCCGGGCCCAGCCTGGTCTGAGGCCACACCGACTCGGCCCTGTAAACCATGCTCCTCACTCAGTCCCGGGGCTGAGGCGGGCAGGGCAGGCGCTCCGGGTGCACAGCTGGAGACGGAGCCAGGCAAGGAGAGGGACTGCCCGCCAGGCCCAGAGGGCGGGGCTCCCTCCCATGGACCCAGCCTGGCAACAAGGAGGCCACGCCACGCCTGCAGACTGCTGGCACACACCGCAGACCTCGCCTCCCCTGCTACCCTCCGCCAGCCCTTAGAGCCCTGCTCCCCGCCCCGCCCGGCAGCAGGGCGGAGCACGCAGGCCACAGGGCTTGGCCCTCCGCCCCCTCCTGCCAGAGCAGAGCCCGCGGACAGCAAGGCCCTGCCGCCCGCCCCTCCGTCACTCCTGTGCGAGCCTGCACGGCCCTCCATTCCTCAACGAGCCTCGAAGGCAGCCAAGGCAGGAGGCGCGCGCCGCCCCCCCCCCCCCCCCCCCCCCCCCCCGCTAACACGGCGGGAGCTGCCAGGGACCGCGCTCTAACAAGCTTCAGACGGGATGACTGGGATCGCAAGCATGAATTTTTATGAGTCTAATAAATCACTCGCTTTTCCTGAGCTTGCCGACGGCCCGGCACTTCAAACGGGAAAGCGCTGCTGCAGTCAGAGCCTCTAGCCTGTGCCTGGGGGCTGCCCCGGTGAGGGGGCACCCGGCTCCCAGGAGAGGGGGCACCCGGCTCCCAGGCGAGGGGGGCACCCGGCTCCCAGGTGAGGGGGGCACCCGGCTCCCAGGAGAGGGGGCACCCGGCTCCCAGGAGAGGGGGCACCCGGCTCCCAGGCGAGGGGGCACCCGGCTCCCAGGTGAGGGGGGCACCCGGCTCCCAGGCGAGGGGGCACCCGGCTCCCAGGTGAGGGGGGCACCCGGCTCCCAGGTGAGGGGGGCACCCGGCTCCCAGGAGAGGGGGCACCCGGCTCCCAGGAGAGGGGGCACCCGGCTCCCAGGTGAGGGGGGCACCCGGCTCCCAGGAGAGGGGGCACCCGGCTCCCAGGCGAGGGGGCACCCGGCTCCCAGGCGAGGAGGCACCCGGCTCCCAGGCGAGGGGGCACCCGCTCCCAGGAGAGGGGGCACCCGGCTCCCAGGTGAGGGGGGCACCCGGCTCCCAGGTGAGGGGGGCACCCGGCTCCCAGGAGAGGGGGCACCCGGCTCCCAGGAGAGGGGGCACCCGGCTCCCAGGTGAGGGGGGCACCCGGCTCCCAGGCGAGGGGGCACCCGGCTCCCAGGAGAGGGGGCAACCGGCTCCCAGGCGAGGGGGCACCCGCTCCCAGGAGAGGGGGCACCCGGCTCCCAGGTGAGGGGGGCACCCGCTCCCAGGTGAGGGGGGCACCCGGCTCCCCGGGCGAGGGGGACACAGCTTCCCAGAGGGGTGGTGGACCCTCCGGGCCTCGCCCTCACGGCTCCGCCCGCCCACCCGCCACCCAGAAGGGAGGCCCTCAGCACCGCCTCCTGCAGCCGAGCTTCCACCGAGGCATCGGCCTGACAGCACTTACCGAGGACCAAGTCACAGCGGCAGCCGACAGGCCGCGTCACCTGAGCCCCACACCGCGGCTGTGGCGCAGGCCGCTCCATGACAAACAGCGTCAGCCGCTCCCTCACTGCCTGAGTCTAACGGCAGCGCTGCCAGCCCGCCCGCCGCGCCGGCAGGCCTGTCAGAGGGCGATGGAGACCCTCTCGCATCCAGCCCAGCGCCGGCCCGGGTCACAGAGCAGGAGGCGGACCGCACACCGCCCGACCCCCAGATGGCACCGTCTGGTGGACCGGTGGCGTGCTCCCTGACAGTCGCTGTAGGTTGTGGGGTGGGGGCCCCTCCTCTTCCCCATCACACTGTGGGAGCAGGGAGCCTCAGCACGCCCAGGCTCAGGAGCGTACCCCAAAGACAGGTGACGGCCTGGCGGGAAGCGAGGGGGACCCAGGCAGAGCACGCTGCAGTGAGAGCCGGCCCCAGCTCTGCGCTCCCACTCCCAAAGGCAGGCCCAGTGCCACCAGGCAGCTGGCCCCGGAGCCTCGGTCACAGGCAGGAAGAGGGTCTGCACACACAGCCGCGGCCCCAGCGGCTGCAGGCAGCTTGGCCATGCTCTGAGGCCCCGGACCCCAGCGCTGGAGCAGCTAAGACGGCAGGGGTCCTGGTGCTGGTGTCCTGCAGCTGGGCCCCCAGGCCTGTCACTCACGTCGCCTCCGACCTCCTCCGGAGGCACCCAACAGCCCTCCTCAGCCTACAGGCTCCTGCTCACGCAGCGCCCGACCGTCCCTCCTTCGGGGTTAGGGCTGCTGGGTGCTCTCACAGAACTGTGGGCAGGCACGGTGCTCCACGGCCCCGCCCCAGCCCCCACGGCCCCGCCCCAGCCCCCACAGCCGGCTGGGCTCCCCCAGTCCCAGTAGACACCTAACCCCTGGATTCAGAAAGGACAAGAAAGGAGCTGCAGGAAGGGGCCCAGCGCAGCTCCGGGCTCAGGAGGCACAGGGCCGGCCCAGGAGCGGTCCTTCCCTGCTGACACAGGGAGCACAGCCCCACAGCCCGAACACGGCAGCCAGCACGGAGCCTGCCAGGCCGCTCCCGCAGGGCCAGGACCTGCTCGGGGCCAGCGCACAGCAGCTCTGCCATGGCCCCAGGCCCGGCTCCAGCCCGAGGCTGAGGAGGGGCACAGGCGGGAGGATGCAGGCCCAGGCCGGGCTCCGGGGTGTCCCGTCCTCGTCCGCGGATGCTGGGAAGCAGCCCGCCCTGCACTCCTCCCGGGTTTTCCCAGATGCTGGCCAGCCCTGTTCCCACCTGCTGCACCAGATCCTGCTCAGGGTGGCACCACACCCTCCGGGCTGCCCTCACCCTCCGCACTGCAGCCTCACCCTCCAGGCCGCCTCACCCTCCGGGCTGCCCTCACCCTCCGGGCTGCCCTCACCCTCCGCACTGCAGCCTCACCCTCCAGGCCACCTCACCCTCCGGGCTGCCCTCACCCTCACCCTCCGGGCCGCCCTCACCCTCCGGGCCGCCTCACCCTCCGGGCCGCCTCACCCTCCGGGCCGCCTCACCCTCCGGGCTGCCCTCACCCTCCGCACTGCAGCCTCACCCTCCAGGCCGCCCTCACCCTCACCCTCCGGGCCGCCCTCACCCTCCGGGCCGCCTCACCCTCCGGGCCGCCCTCACCCTCACCCTCCGGGCCGCCCTCACCCTCCGGGCCCCCTCACCCTCCGGGCCGCCCTCACCCTCCGGGCCGCCCTCACCCTCACCCTCCGGGCCGCCTCACCCTCCGGGCCGCCCTCACCCTCACCCTCCGGGCCGCCCTCACCCTCCGGGCCGCCCTCACCCTCACCCTCCGGGCCGCCCTCACCCTCACCCTCCGGGCCGCCCTCACCCTCACCCTCCGGGCCGCCTCACCCTCCGGGCCGCCCTCACCCTCACCCTCCGGGCCGCCCTCACCCTCCGGGCCCCCTCACCCTCCGGGCCGCCCTCACCCTCACCCTCCGGGCCGCCCTCACCCTCACCCTCCGGGCCGCCTCACCCTCCGGGCCGCCCTCACCCTCACCCTCCGGGCCGCCTCACCCTCCGGGCCGCCCTCACCCTCACCCTCCGGGCCGCCCTCACCCTCCGGGCCCCCTCACCCTCCGGGCCGCCCTCACCCTCCGGGCCGCCTCACCCTCCGGGCCGCCTCACCCTCACCCTCCGGGCTGCCCTCACCCTCACCCTCCGGGCCGCCCTCACCCTCCAGGCCCCCTCACCAGGGCTTCGCGGACAGAGAAGCGCCCCTGCTCCCACCTGCCCCGTTAGTGCCGATGCCCCGTGTTCAGCCCGATGCCCCGTGTTCAGCCCGATGCCCCGTGTTCAGCCCGCACTGACAGGGAGCCTGGGGCCGGGCACAGCCCCGGAGGAGTGCCCAGCAAGCCACACAAGGGCACACAGGCCCACACCTAGGTGCAGGCTGCTGCCCACATGGGGAGGCCCAGGGCCCGCAGCCTCATCTCCACCTCAGGGAGAGGGTGGCCTGGACGCAGGGTCTGGCACAGCCAGCACTCAACCAGCAGCGTGGCTCTCTGTCCCCCGCCTCCCGAGAGCCCAGAGCCCAGCAGCAGCACTGATGGCGATAGTGCTGGGTCCATGCAGACCCTCGCAGGCCGTCAGAGGGAGGGAACGAGAGCGCAGAGGGCTGGGGTGGGGTCAGGGAGGCCTGGCAGCCTGGGGGAGGTGGGGCCCTCCTGCCAGCTCAGTCGCACTCAGTGGACACCTGCCCCGACCTCGGAACTCGCCTGCGCCGGCTCAGGAGCCCGCCCGCACCCAGGTTCCTCCCTCTGGGCCTCGGAAAGCCCTGCCAGCCTGGCACTCCCCCTGCCTCCCGGCCAGCCCGTCTTCTCTCTGCCGCCCCATCACGTCTGCACTGTCCCCAGGGGACCAAGACCCACACCCACGTGGAGGTCTGGCCACACCCAGCCCTGCCTGGGGGCGGGAGGGACAGACCACAGGAGGGAGGGCCAGGCCCAGGAGAGCCGGTGGACAGACCACAGGAGGGAGGGCCGGGGCCAGGAGAGCCGGTGGACAGACCACAGGAGGGAGGACCGGGCCTAGGAGAGCCGGTAGACAGACCACAGGCAGGGGCCGGAGAGGGTAGCTATGTCCAGGTGTCCTGTCTGGGGCAGGTGGGCAGTGGGGCCTCTGGGAGCTGGCGACACCGCCCACCGGGGCTTCTCCTTGGCCTCCATGCACGTGCCGCCCACTGGCTGCAGGAGTCGCCATGAAGGCCCGAGCCCGGGGCCCAGGGGCCTGTGGGTGCCAGCCCCACCGAGCGGCGGGAACACAGCTCTCCGGCCGTCCTGGGAGCAGGGGCCAGGCTCAGGGCACAGGGCAGCCTGTGCCATCCAGTGCCTGAGGGACAGCGCTGGGCCCAGCGAGACCAGAGGAGGGGGCGCTGGGAGCGGGCCCTGAAGCCCTGGGCGTGGCACTGCGTCGGCCCCACGTGGGGCTGGGAGGTAGCGAGCACCTGGCTGGGTGCTAATTGCCACAGTCACCAGGGTGCTCGATTGGAAACCGCTGCCGAGGCCTCCGAGAGGCTCTCCTCTCCTGCCTCCTCCCGGCCTGCCCACCCGAGACAGGCCCACGGGTCCCTGTCCGCCGTCAGCAAGCGCCCGGCCCGCCTCGGGCACCCGCTCCCGCCCCCAGCTGCCAGGGGACAGCCCAAGGGAAAGGGAGAGAGGAAAGCAAGAGGCCTCAGCTCCCTGAGCACGTGGTGGCCCAAGGCCCCCCACCCAGTCAAGTCTGACTGAGCCCTCAGCCCAGGAGCCAGGCCCCGGGAGGGCGGGGAGCAAGGGGAGCGAGGAGGGGAGGGAACCTTCACCACCTCGGCCCCAGCCTGCTGAACAATGCAGTTTTGAATTCAATTAAAGTGATTATCTGTTGTGCCAAATAAATTGTGTACAGCATATATCCTGCAGCTCTGCACCTCCGGGCTCATTATTCCCTAACTGTTTCCTCCTGTTTATGCGCTCTCAAATTAAACTGCTGATAATATGCGCCAAAATAAAAAACGAGCACACCTTGTCCCAGGAAAATTGATTCTCCCTCTCCCTGAACCGGCGATTGCCAGGTTTTATACACTCTGTTCCTGGTGATCATTAGTAATTCAATTTTCTTTTTATTAGCCCCTTATCTGCTGAGCAATACAGTGGCAGAGCTGACCTCTTTCGCAGGGTAAATGTTTAAAATCTTTTCCCTGATTAACTTTGCCGGTTAAGAAAAAGAGGAGAAGTGGCCCGGCTCTTAGCCATCACGATGAATAAAGCTTAATGTTGATTGTGATGGAACCTCTGATGCCAGGGAACTGATTGAAGGCGGCAATTACACCGCAACAGCAGCTCCAGGGAGATGGGACGCCTTCTCCGGCCGCAGCCTTTTGGTTATTTAAAACAATCCAATTTGCGAGGATAATTATGGATTCGTGTTTTATCTGCCACTTGAAATGAACAGGGGAGTTTCGATACTGGCCCCGCATTAGCAGGTTATTGCTGCAAATTACTTGATATCTGCTTTCTTTCACATAAATAGGAAATTAGGCTATCAATTACCGGAAAAAAGACAGACCCGGGGATAAGAGGGGCAAGTGCGCCCTCTGCTGGGCACCTGGCCGCACGGCAGGCAGGCTGCGGGGCTGGGGCTGGGGCTGGGGCTGGGCTTCCCCACCTGCATCACATGGGCTCCCTTTGCCCGTTCACCCTGCCACCAAGTCCACACTCGCCACGGCACACGGCGTGGCAGCCAAAGGGCAGGTGGGCAACCAGCCCCGCAGCCTGCCCTCACCTCCCTCCGGGGCCCACGCCGCCCTCTGGTGGCAGCTCCCCACGGGCCCTCAGCTCAGGTCAAGCCCTCGGGGCCTGGCACAGCACAGCCCGAGGAGGGTACCTCCACCGCTCAGTGGGGAAGGTCCCGATCGAACTCCCTGGGGCCGCTGCTCGGCCCAAACCCTGCTGCCTGCGTTACTTCACAGGCATCAGCCTGGCCACAGTGGTCGGCAAACTCGTCAGTCATCAGGGCCAAGTACCAACAGCACAACGATTGGGATTCCTTTTGAGAGCCACATTTTTTAAACTTAAACTTCTTCGAACACTACTTGTTCAAAATAGACCCGCCCAGGCCGTGGCATTTTGTGGAAGAGCCACACTCAAGGGCCAAAGAGCCGCAGTTTGCCGACCACTGGGCCCTGGCAAGCACACCACTCCCGCTGCTCCAAGGGGGGGAAGGGGGCCCACAGGACCAGGTGCGCCCAGGGGAGCCTGGCTCTCCAGGGCGGATCCAGTGGCCCTGCCTCCCCCTTGCCCACTCCCCACGGCCCCACCCCTCCACCACGAGCCCCGCCCCCGCCCGCCCGCACTGCCAGCACCTCACAGGCGGGCCACGCCCACGACCTCCCTCAGGCTGGCCACTAGCCACCAGTGACTCAGAGGGCAGAGCCGACCCTCCCAGGCCCGCAGACAGACGGGCGAGGATGGCTGGGCGGCCACCTCTCACCACCTCCCCCTCCCTCCACCAACAGGGATGCACCTGGGCCAGCGGGGCCCGTTCAGGCTTCCCAGAGCCCTCGCGGGGCCCTCCTGTCCTCCTACCTTCCCTGGTGGGGAGCGGGGCGCGGCCGGGGGGCAGGCAGCACAGCCGGTGCCGGGGGACCTGCATCAGGCCCTTGGGGGGCGTCTTCTTCGGGACGGGCCCGCCTCTCCCCCGCAGGACCTGCCTCCTCCGCAGGCTGAACTGGTTCTTGGCGGCGGCAGCTGGCGGGGGGCTGCTCTTCTTGTCCCCAGGAAGGCTGCGGAGACAAAGCCGGCAGCTCTCAACAGGCCCCCACGGAGAACGGCCCCAGCCCACTCGGATACGCCCCGGGAGGCCCGCCCGGCCAGCTCCGCGTTCCCACCTCAGCGGCGCCAGGCCTGCAGGCTCCCAGCCGCGGCAGGAGGATCCCAGGATCGATCCCTGAGCCCTGCCTCCTCCCCTCCGCAGGCCAAGAGCCCCAGCAGAGCTGGGGTGGGGGCAGAGGAACTGCCACAGCATCCCCAGCCTCTCCACAGGAGGCGCCGTTCCCACAGCTCCCTCCTGGCCCTCCTGACAGAGGCCACCTCCACCCAGATGGGGTCGAAGACCGAGGTCAGACGGTGGGAGACCTGCAGAGGGCGCTCAGCCAGGAGGAGGCAGCGCCAGGTCTGATGGCAGAGGGAGGCCCTCTGCATGGCCAGCAGCAGCCACCTGACCCCAGCCACGGGCCATGAGGGGACACATGGCCACCGTGGGGCAGCCTTCCGCCCAGCGGGGACAGCTCCTCCTGCAGACACACTACAACCCTGCGTTTGTCTAGCCAGCACCGGGCCAGGCACAGAGCCTCCTGCCCACCGATCCCGTGCCAGAACGGAAGCTGCCCAGCAGCCTCTCCTAACAGAAGGGCGGGCGGGCGGGCTGGCACCAGCCTCCACGGGCCCTGCCTGGCTGGGGCCTGAGGCAAGTCCCGCCCCTGCTGAGCCCCCGCACTCGGCATAGCCGGGCCTCATCCCTACCAACAAAGCTCCCCTCTCACTCAGGCTCAGCCAAGCAGAGACCAGGAGGGGCAGTGATGCTTCCCTCCCCTCCCCCCTCAGGGCAGGCAGGCCCTCCCATTGGCTGAGTCACCGCAGGGGGGGCCAGCCCAGCCCACTGCCCACACAGCACCCGTGGCGCTGGGACACGTACGTGGTGCTCCCCCGCCTCCTGATGATCTTGGTGCGGCTCTTCACTTTGTAAGCCGAGAGCCCAGGGGTCTCGCTGAAGAGGGGCTTCAAGCCACTGGGCCCCACGGCAGGCTTGTCCCCCGGGGGGGACCGAGAAGGGACTGGAGGGAGCTGGGAGGCGTGGTCCTTGCGGCCAGCCTCGGCCTGCCAGCGGAAGGAGGAGGAGGAGGAGGCCGAGGGGCTGGAGGCCTTCCACTTGTACTTGCTGCGGGGGGCCCCGGTGGCGCCCGCGGCCGGCTTCTTGGGCTTGGCCTCCGGGTCGGCTCTGGGCTGCAGCTTCTCGGCTCGCTCCGCAGCACACACGTTCTCCGCAGCGGCTCTGGGGCTGAGGGCCCTGCGAGGGGCCCGGGGGCTCTTCGTCGAAGCAGCCACCCATTTGTAGTTGTTTTTCCGGAACTTGTTGGCTCGACAGGACACAAGCAGCGAGGCCTCGGGGGCCTGCCTGAGTCCGGAAGCTGGTCTGGTGGGGCCTGCCGCGGAGCCAGAGGGAGCCGGCTGGTCTGGGTGGCCGGCGTCGGCTCTCCGGTCTCCAAGGAGCTGTGCGGCATAGCTGGCCACAGGGCGAGAGCTCGCCTTCACGGCCAGGGCCCCGCCGCCGCGCTGGGGCGCGTGGGGGGGCGGGAGGCGGGCCCTGATGGAGATGGCGCTCTCGCTGACCGTGCGCCGGGACTCAGAGGGGCAGTCGCTCAAGCTGCTCACGGACTTCACCACCCGGGGCTTGCCGGCCTCCTTCTGGCAGACCAGCTGGCAGTCCTCGGTGCTGTAGGCCCCCCTGGCCCTTCCCGGCTTAGCGGGCGGACGCTGCCCGCCAGAGGGCTCGCCCTCCCCTCCCCGAGGCTGGCGGTCGCTCCAAGGAGGGTCCTCATATTCTGCCGAGGAGCCCCGGGGGGCACCTGCGGCACCAGCCACGCTGGGCTGGGACGGAGGTTTGATCTTGATGACCATGCTCTGGTCAGCACTGAGCTGGACCTGCCTCTCCAGGACATACTGCTGGGGCGTGGGGTCCTGGCTGCCTCCAGCCCCGAGGGGGGCCTGCGAGGCACAGTCCCCGGGGGGGTCCACGGAATCACTGGGCGAGTCCAAGGAGTCGCCAGGGGGGTCCAGGGGGCCCGGGGGCCGATTCACGAGGGAGTATTTCTTGCGCCACGCAGGCCCGTGGCTTGTGGAGAAGCCCCTGCGGCTCGGACGAGGATAGCGCGCCCCGAAGGTCCTGGTGCTGCTGTAGACGGGCGGCTGCCAGCGGGAGGTGGCGGAGGGGCCTGGGGCGGGGGCATTGCCGTGGTGGTTCTTGTAGTCGTCAATCAGACCTAGGAGACAGAATCGCAGGCTGACCTGGAGGCTCAGTCTCCGGGAGAGGCACCTCATAGACCCCCATCTCTCCCCTGAGCCCCTCCTTGGCGGAGACCCACCGACACTTCAGCCTGAACCTCTTGGGCCTGTCTTTCCCATGAGCCTTTTCCCCTCAGATCTGCTTCAGTCCCGCTTCTGGCTGCCCACCCTGAGCATGCGCCCCTGTGGCATCACCGTCCCTCTTTGCTGGGAATATTATTCTGGGTCCACAATCCTTTGAAGCCCTGGCTGGTGTGGCTAAGTGGATAGAGCATCAGCCTTCAGACTGAATGGGCCTGGGTTCAATTCCAATCAAGGGCACATGCCCGGGTTATGGGCTCGATTCCCAGTAGGGGGCGTGCAGGAGGCAGCCGATCAACGATTCTCTCTCATCACTGATGTCTCAATCTCTCTCTCCCTCTCCCTTCCTCTCTGAAATCAATAAAAATATTTTTTTCAAAAAAAAAAAAAAGAGCAGTGTCACTCACTATGAGAAGACCAGCAAGGCCTATACTGCAATGCCTCGGCAAGAAAGGGCCGGCCAGCCACAGAGGCCCCCTGGCTGCCCGCTGGTGGAGAGGGGTTTGGGGCAAGACCCTTAACAAGCTCCCCGCCGGCTACACAGGACAATGGGCGTTAAGATGACCGACAGCACTGGGCACTCAACACTTGTCAGGAATATCACAGCGTCCTCCCCAAGGGATGCGAGGCCTGGCCAGTGGGGAGAACCCAGGGCAGCGGGCTGACCACCACACAGCCCTTCCAAGGAGGCCCTTGGTCAACTGTCCGGTGCAGGAGGCAGCCCGGGGCTGGGGGCTGACAGCCCAGCTAGCAGCCGGCTCCCCGGCCCCAGGCACCACCCTCTCTCTCCGTGACGCCTGGGGCAGGCATGACGGAAGCCCAAGAGGCAACCCACAAAGGCCAGCACACCCAGACTCCCCCACACACCCCTCCCGCGTCCTTCAGTCTTCTTTGTGGAAACAGCCTGAGAGCGGGGAGAGCGGGGTTAGGGATAAAAAGCCCGGCCTGGGTCTGAAATCTGAAAAGTTTGGAGACCGAGGCCAGGGCCGGCCGGGTCTGGAGTGAGTGATGTCCGGAGTGATGTCCGGCGTGGAAACCGGGCCCCGCCCTCGCGGGAGCGACTCTACCACCGGCACCTCCGCCCACTGTCGGGGCCGGGACGCGCCCACCCGCGGGGATGGGGGGCCGCCTCCCGCCGGTTACTAGGCGACCGCCCCGCCGCCCCCGCCGCCCCCGCCGCCCCGCCGCAGCGCCGAGAGGCTCGCGTTATCCGCCTGACGAACCCCGGGCAGGGGCTGACCCCGCAGGCCCGGAGCCCTCGGGTCCCCGCCCCCCGCCCCGCCCGGCCCGGCCCGGCCCGGCTGCGGAGACGCGGGCGGGCGGCGAACATCCCCGCTGAGGTGAGGGGAAGAGAGGGGCGCGCCACCCCAGCCCGGCCCGGCTCACCCTGCAGGAGGCGGATCTGTTGCCGTAACAGCTCCTTTTCCTCCATCTCCCGAGTCCGCGACGCCCGGCCAGGCCCCCGCGACGTCATCGCCACGCGACCGTTTCCCTGTGGGCGGGGCGGGCGGGGTGGGCGGGGCGGGCGGGGTAGGCGGGGCGCGCGAGGCTCCGAGGCTGCGCACTGCAGCCAGGCCCGGCCGCCTCCGGGTCGCCAGGGACGCGCCGTCGCCCTGGCAACGCCTGCAGGCCACGCATGCGCAGAGCAGAGGCCAGGGAGCCGGCTCTGCGGGGCGGGGGCGGAGGGGCGGCGGGGGTCACCGGTGCGGGGGCTCTCGTTCGCCGCGGGCCCGGGACGAGTCGCAGCGCAGCCCTTCCCGGCCTCCGCCTGCCCCCATGTCTGCACTTCCGCCTTCACCAGCCCAGCCCGCGCCCTTGGAGAAGCCCTCCCGCCGGGCTCGCAGGGGGCAGGGGGCGGGGGCCCCCTCGCCCGCGTCCCGCACGGAGCGGGGCGGGGCCGGGAGCGGCTGGGAGAGAACTGCCCTCGAGGCCCCCGCAGGTCCTTCACCGCAGCATCTCCTCCCGCACCGACCCTCGCCGCCCGGCCTAACTCAGCCCGAGCTCCTCCTGGAAGACGCGGGCGGGGCTCGGAGCGCCGACCTGTGAACCCGAGGTCAGGGTTCACGCGCCGGCGGCCGGCTGGTCCCCGGGGGCGTGCAGGAGCGGCCGGTCCGTGATTCTCTGGTCCCTGATGTTTCTGCCTCCCTTTCCCATCCGCTCGGAAATTTATAAAAATATGTTCTTATAGAAAAGGTTATTAGCCAGCGGTTCCGTCAGCAGGGCATTCCCATGGCCTCTGAGGACCAGGGCGGAGGGTGGCGGGAGTCGCACCGGACCCTCCGCCATCCCTCCTCCGGCGGAGCGTGGGCGCCTGCCGGGTGCCCGCAGCACCTCCTCCCTGAAGCGGGACGAGGGAGCCCCTGCCCAGGCCCAGCGGGCGGCCTGGTTCCGCGCGCCCCACCGCCGCCGGGAAGCCGGGGCCGGGCGGGCACTCTGCGTGCGGGGCCGGGAGACCGGGCGCCGGGGCGGGGCACAGGGCGGGGGCGGGGCGGCCTGGCCGCTCCCTGGGGCTGGCGAGGCCGCTCTGGAATCCGCGGCCCGCAGCTCCGCCCGCCCCAGGCCCCGCGGAACAGGACTTCCCGGCCCGCGAGCCTCCGAGTCCGGGTCCGGGGCGGGCCCGCCGGGCGCTCCTTCCAAGCTTACGGGGTTCCGGCGCCGGCAGCCCGCCGCCAGGCTCAGCCTGCGGCCTCCGCGCCCCGTCCCGGCCGGGCTCGGGGGCGACCCCCCTCGGGAGCGCTCTCCCCCCTCCCCCCAGCGCACCGGGTTATCGCCGGATCGGAATGCCCTGCCCACCCTCCCAGGTCCCTGCCCGCCCGGCCCCATTCCCAGCGCGCCTGGCCGGTCACCAGCGCCCTCCCGGGCCGGTGAGAGGGGCCGGCGGCAGTAGCTTCTCCCTTAGAGCCGGCTCCCCTCCCAACCTCCCAGCCTCCGGGACACAGTGTCTCCTCAGCTCCGCACCCCACCCAGATGGCGGGACCTCACCCTGGGCGACCCACCGCCTCCACACCACACGGGGTGCCCCAGGGCTTCTGGCTGCCTCCTGCGTGCCTGGGAGGGATGGCAGCGCACCCCCGCCGCCCCTCCTCCCTTCCCTCCCCAGCGGCCCCCTACGGCTGTCCTCTTACCGGGAGGCAGCACCACTCGGCCGACACGGTGCTTCCTGTTTGGATTGTCACCATAAGTGGCAGACAGGGTCACCGCCTAAGGCAGGTGGGCACCGTGTGCCATGCTGTCCCCAGTTCCCACGTGGATGGCACCTGCCTGGCACGCTGTTCTGTGCCCGCTCCACCCAATTCTCCCACAGCCAAGGCCGGGCAGAAAAACCACCGGCTGGTCCCAGCCCTCCTGCCCGCAGCACCCAGGCCACCTGGAGTCGTGCCCGGGAAACAGGGAGAAGCAGGTGTGGCTGGAGGAGGCAGACCCTCCAGTGGATCCAGCATGCAGCCCCCAACACGTACACACACACACACACACACACACGCGCGCGCGCGCGCGCACGCCAACATGCACATACAACACACATATGAATGCACATGTGTTGTGTGCATGCAGCATGCACACTTGTACACACTTGTGGACTCACACTCAGCTCTCCTCAGGCTCTTGGAGTCTCTGTCACCACCACAAGGATGTCCCCTCACACCAGCCAGGGGCTCCAGGGGCTGGACCAGAGCTGGGAGCCCCTCACCAGGCTGCAGGGGCACCCACGGCCCCAGAGGCCCTCAGCTGGCGGCGCTCAGGCCAGGCCTGCTCCCCTGGGCCCCCAGCACGAGGAGAAACCACAGGCAGGTGTTGGAGCAGGCCAGCCGCCTGTCCGCCCACCCCCAGGGCCTCGCCTGCCCTGTCCTGCCCAGGATACCTAGCAGTTTCAGACTTCTGCTTGCACAAAACAATGTCACTTTGTGTGTGTGTGGGGGGGGGGGTAAAACGTTTTTATTGATTTCAGAGAGGAAGGGAGAGGCAGAGAGAGAGAGAGAGAAACATCAATGATGATAGAAAAGCATCAGCTGCCCCCCACAAGCCCCCCACTGGAGAGGGAGCCTGCAACTCGGGCATGTTCTCTGTCAGGGAATTGAAACCGTGACCCCCTGATTCTAGGTTGATGCTTAACCACTGAGCCACGCCAGCCAGGCGACAGCGTTCCCTTTGAATCAGCCTTTCCAGTCACTGCAACAGGCGGGGGCAGGACGGCACCTTCTGGCTCACAGCGACCGCCCTGAGGGGGAGGGGGCAGGGGGACGGGGGGGGGGGGCGGGCACCTAGCACAGGGTGGAGGAGTGTCGGCCAGCAGCCTCGTGCGGGCTCCCCAGTGTCCTCCTGGCTTAGGGGCGAGAGGCGAGGGGTGGAGCAGGCAGAGGGGTGCGGGCCGCTGCCTTGCACCAGACAGGATCCGCACCCAGGGCGCGAGGGCGGAGGAGCCTGTGGGGCCTGGAGCGTGCCACCCACCCGGCTGCTTCATCTCAGAGCAGCCTCCTTAGGAGGGAACTCAGTGCCCTCGCTGCTCACGCGTTGGGAGTGTCTGATTCCGTGGGTGCTAGCATCCTCAGGGTTGTGCAACCCTCACCACAGGCTGGAACATTGCATCACCCCGAAGAAGCCGCGCGCCCCGACAGCTGTCACCCCTCCCCCTCCCCAGCCGGAAACCCCCAGTACTTGCTGTGTGTGTGGCTTCTCCTGCTGGCTTCTGAGCTGGCTTCTCTCACTGAGGATGGTGGTGTGGTTTTTTGTTTGTTTTTGTTTTAATACATTTTTATTGATTTCAGAGAGGAAGGAAGAGGGAGAGGGAGATAGAAACATCAATGTTGAGAGAGGATCATGGATTGGCTGCCTCCTGCATGCCCCACCCTGAGGATGGCGTCTGCAACCCAGGCATGTGCCCTTGACCGGAATCAAAACCCAGGACCCCTTCAGACCGAAGGCCAACGCTCTGCCCACTGAGCCACACCGGCCAGGGGTGAGGGTGGTGTTTTGAGTTCTCCCTGCTGTCCAGGCACCAGAACTTCGCTCCTTTCTGGGTGCCCTGGCTGGCGGGCGGGCGGGGTGTCAGCGTCCGGCTGCTATCCACCCTCGGGTGCAGGCCGAGGTGACGGGTTCATCTCCCGGTTCATCCCCCGGCTACACACCCCGAGGAGGAATTGGTGGGCGGGGGCGCGGTCTCACTTGCTGGGGAACCACCGCCCGAGGCCCGTCCCGCCCGGTTCCTGCTCCCTCCCCAGCCCAGCCCGGACCCCCAGCCCGGCGCCCCGTGCGCCCTCCCGGTCTGATGTGCCGTTGGCCGCGCACAGCACCGGGAGAGGTGGCTGCGGCGCCCCACGCGCCCGGGGTTTGGAAAGGCCGCGCCGAGAAGCTCAGCCGGCGGGCGCGGGGCGAGGCCCCGGTCATTTCCGGCCGCGCTGGGCGGTCCCAGCGCGGCTACAAGTTTCACTTTTGGGTCCTGAGCCCCGCGGCCGCCGCGGCCGGCGGAACGCTCCGCTTTGGCGGCCCCAGAGCACGGCCCCCGCCACCCCGGCCCCCGCGACTTGGCTTCCTGAGCCCGGAACCTAGGCGCCAAGGTCAAGGTCACGGTGAGCTGCGCCCCCTGGCAACCCCGGGACCTGCTTGCTCTCACTGGGTCGGGGATGCCTGGCCCCAGCCCCCTCCGAGGAATCCCCCCAACCCCAGGCCACCTGGGGAAGCCCAGGGCCCGGGAGTGGCCCCTCACCAGCCAGACCGCGGGGGTGGGGTCCTGGAGGGCCCTTGCCTGGCCCAGGTCTGCCGTGGTCTCTGAGCCCTGAAGCCTCAGCCTCCCACCAGGGGCTTGTGCGGCTCTGGACACAGAGGAGCCAGATTTCTGGCCCCTAAGCCGCATCTGTTTCTCCCTGTCCCCTCCCCACCCCCCACCCTTTGGACACCTCAGCCAGGGAGACCGTGGCTACAGCAGACAGAGCATGGGCCTGGGTCATCCAGGGCCCCTGCCTCGCCCTGCCCGCCCTCCGGGGTGGCCCTGAGCCACTCTGGGCGGATTGGTGGTGGCGGCCGGCGGTGTGGCCTGAAGCTGACGGCCCGTCACTGCCCGTCCAGGGCTTTCCTGGGCGCCCGCTGAGGGATGTGGGAAACGGTCCCCGGAGGGGCTCCCGGCTCCTTGGAGGGATGGAGGGGAGGGTGCCGGGTCCTGCCCGTCAGCACGCCCAGGACTGACCGTGCGGGCGGCTTCGGTCCTTGGAGGCATCCGAGTGCCCACTGCCCCCCCTCCCCTCGCCCAGCCCCGAGCCGCGGGCTCCGCCCCCGGGAGCATGGCGTCCGCCTTCGAGCAGGTGGTGAAGAGCGTGGTGCAGGAGCTGGACCAGGGCCGGGAGCTGGTCCCCGTGGACAGCCTGCGGAGCTCCACCAGCTTCCAGCCCTACTGCCTGCTGGGCCGGAGGCCGCCCAGCTCCTGGTTCTGGGGGTCCCACTACAGGGGCATTAACCTGTCCCTCAGAGACATCCTGGAGCCCGGTGACCCCGAGCCAGGTACCCCCCCCCCCCGCCTGCCGTGACCCCGAGCCAGGTCCCCCCCCCTGCCTGCCGTGACCCCGAGCCAGGTACCCCCCCCGCCTGCCGTGACCCCGAGCCTGTACCCCCCCCACCTGCCGTGACCCCGAGCCAGGTACCCCCCGCCTGCCGTGACCCCGAGCCAGGTACCCCCCCCCCGCCTGCCGTGACCCCGAGCCAGGTACCCCCCGCCTGCCGTGACCCCAAGCCAGGTACCCCCCCCCCCGCCTGCCGTGACCCCGAGCCAGGTACCCCCCTGCCTGCCATGACCCCGAGCCAGGTACCCCCCCCCCCTGCCTGGGCCTCGGGCTCTGCGTCCGGAAGGCGGCTCCTTCAGAAAGGTCCCGGCAGGTGGCAGACGGGCAGAGGGCCTCAGCTCGGTCTCCTTCCAGACACCCAGCGCATTGGCTGCTTCCAATTCCAAGACGCGGTGGACGGGCAGCTGCAGGGCCACGTGGAGCTGTCGGCGGGCCCTGGGCAGGGCGGGTTCTCGGGCGGGGCCGCCATGTCCGGCAGCTCCAGCGCCTCCATGGACGTGTGCGGGCTGCAGGTGAACCCCAACATCTGGGCAGACCTGCTCCGGGAAAGGTGAGCCCCAGACCTGGGCAGGCCCTGGGGAGCCCAGTAGCCTGGGGTCACGGGGGGGAGGGGGGCGGGTCCCGGGCGGCGCGGAGCGGTGCACCCTGACCTCCCGCCCACCCCTCGGCGCAGGCGCCTTCGGCAGCCGGAGCACAAGGTCCTGCAGCAGCTCCGCAGCCGCGGGGAGGACGTGTTTGTGGTGACGGAGGTGCTGCAGACGCAGAAGGAGGTGGAGGTCACTCGGACCCGCAGGCAGGAGGGCTCGGGCAGGTTTGCGGTGCCCGGAGCCACGTGCTTCCAGGTGTGGGCGCGGCCCGTGCTGGGCGGGGAGGGCCGGGAGGGCAGGGCCTGGTCCGGGTGGATCCGCCCCGACCCCGGCTCAGCCAGCTCTGCCCCCAGGGCCAGGGCCAGGGCCACCTGAGCCGGAAGAGGACCGTCACCATCCCCAAGGGCAGCATCCTCGCCTTCCAGGTGGCCCAGCTGGTTGTCGACGGGTCGAGCTGGGGTGAGCTGGCGAAGGTGCAGGGCGGCGGGGTGCAGGGCGGCCTGGGAGGAGCCAGGCCGGCAGGGGCGTGCGGGCACCTGGCGGGCGGGTCTCTGGGTGGGTGTGTGGGAGGTTGGGGCGCACTGAGGGACTGTGAGGGGAGCCCAGGGGGTGGAGGGAAGCCAGAGCCTCGGCCAACCTGCTCCACCTCTGCTCCCGCCGTCAGACATCCTTCTCCAGCCTGACAGGAAGAGGAGGACCTTCCAGCCGCCCCAGAAAGGTGGGCCGGGCCTGGGGCCGGCTCCCGGCTGCTGACGCACCTCCTGCACAGCACGGGCAGCCGGAGCCTTCTGAGGGGGCATGTTCACACTCACTCACTCACACTCACACTCACACACTCACACAACACACACTCACACTCACACACTCACACTCACACACTCACACACACACACTCACACACTCACACTCACACACTCACACACACACACACTCACACACGCACACACTCACACACACACTCACACTCACACTCACACTCACACACTCACTCACACTCACACACTCACACTCACACTCACACACTCACTCACACTCACACACTCACACACTCACACTCACACACTCACACTCACTCACACTCACACTCACACTCACTCACACTCACACTCACACACACACACTCACACTCACACTCACACTCATTCACACTCACACTCACACTCACTCACACTCACACACTCACTCACACTCACACTCACACTCACACACTCATACACTCACACACTCACACTCACATTCACACAGTCACACACTCTCACTCTCACACTCACACTCACACACTCACACTCACTCACACTCACACTCACACTCACTCACACTCACACTCACACACACACACTCACACTCACACTCACACTCATTCACACTCACACTCACACTCACTCACACTCACACACTCACTCACACTCACACTCACACTCACACACTCATACACTCACACACTCACACTCACATTCACACAGTCACACACTCACACTCTCACTCTCACACTCACACACACTCACACACTCTCACACACTCACTCACACACACACTCACACTCACACTCACACACACACTCACACACTCTCGCTCACACACTCACACACTCACACACACTCACACACACTCACACTCACACACACACACTCAGACACACACACACACACGTCCCCCAGCCCTGGCTCCAGTGTTGGGGGAGAGGGATGGGGGGGCTCCGGCCGCTCCCTGTGCTGACCAGCTCTCCCGGCCGGGCAGGCGGTCAGCCCCAGGAACCGTCGCCCAGCTTCTTAAGGTCCATCGCTAAGCGCCTCAAGCTCTTGTCAGGTCAGTACCTCCCTGACCAGCCCGGGGCACCTGGTGGGCTCCCCTTCTTCCTCCCGGGGTCCCCCGTCCGGAGCAGGGCTCCGGGCCCCGTGGTGCCAGGCAGTGCCGCCCTGTCCCCACAGATGGGCTGGACGAGGACCGGCAGGCGCCCTCGGAGGGCTTCCCGGGGCTGCAGGCGGAGGTGCGGGCCTGGGCCCAGGACCTGGAGAGCATGGCCAAGCCGCTGTGCCAGCAGCTGCTGGGCGCCCTGAGTCAGGTGCTGCGGGACGAGCAGGCCCTGGAAGCCCTGGAGGAGTCGGTGAGCAGTCGGAGGAGGGGTGGGGGCTGGGGGCCGGGTCTGCCCTGGCCGGCAGGCTCACCCGCCCCTGTGCCCACAGCTGGAGCAGGGCCTGAGCTGCGGGCAGGTGGACACCCTGCAGGGTCCCTTCGGCAACATCCTGGAGTGCCTGGTGCTCCGCTCCGGGGAGCTGGTGGAGGACCTGGCCAGGCCCCTCGCCTACCTGCTGGGAGCCCTGGCTGGTGAGGGCCTGGGCGGGCTGCTGGCAGGGGTGCGGGCTGCCCAGCCGGCCTCCCGGCGCCCCTCACCCCGTCTCTCCGCAGTGCTGAGCGAACCCCAGCACGTGCTGCTGGCCGAGGCACTGGAGACCGAGGCCCTGTCAGAGCCCTTCCAGCTGGTGAGAGGCCCACATGCCGGGGGGGGGGGGGGGCTGGGCTAGAGTGGGCCTGGGTCCCTCTGGGAGGGGGTGATGCCTGGGCCTCCAGGGACCCCCTCCTACCCTGTCCCGGCAGGTGGAGAGCCTTTTGAAGCAGACCACCCCGTGGCAGGAGTCCATGGCCCTGTCCCTGCCCCCGGAGCTCGTGGGCAGCAGCTGGGGCCCGGAGGTGTCCACCTGGGCTCTGCTGGAGGAGTGCGGCCTAGAGCTGCAGGCGGACGCCCCCCAGGCGAGCTGGAGGCCCGAGGCCCAGGGCCCCACGTGCGCGCTCTACGCCTGCCTGGCCCTGCTGCTGAAGCTGAGCCAGCTCTGCTAGCCGCTGGCCTGCCCCCGGCAGCTCTGGGCAGGGCGAGCTCCGCCCGGGAAGATGGAGCCCAGCCCAGCGAGGCCGCTCCCCACGGGATGGGGGCTGGGGGCTGGGGAGAGTCAATAAATGTGACTCACCAAGGGAAGATGGGCGTCCAGTTTCTGAGGGGCTGACCCCAGAGAGGGCAGGGGTGGGGACCTGCTCACAGGAGAGGGAGGGGTGTGGGGCCAGAGCAGGCGTCTCCCCAGGCCTCACCCCGGTGGCCGTGGGGCTCAGGAGGACCTGCCTGTGCTGCCCTGGCCCCTCCCCAGCGTGTAGGCCGAGAAGATGAGGGTGGGGTGGGGGGCAGTTCTCCCCCCTCAGGGACCTGAGGACACACCACTGCGGGCAGGGGGCCATCCTCAGCCTCAGGGGCCCCAAAGAGGGCTGGGGTACGTGCGTGTGGTGAGCAGTGCACAGACCCTACACTCCTGGGGCTGCCTGAGGCCCCTGGGGAGGCAGGGACCAGAGCCTCCGGCCACACCTTGCTCAGGGACACCTGCTCAGGTCACAGGGCCCAGACGCTGGGCCCGTGCGTGGAGGAGTGGCCGTGAGGACAGATGGCAGCTGGTCGGCCGGGGCTGTGCCCTCCGCGGGGCGCACCCTCCTTTCCTCGCCGGCCTGCACTCCGAGGCTGAGGCTTCAGGATCCCCCCGCGAGGGGGCCCTGGGTTCCGCTGGGACATGAACCTCACACAACCCGGGGTCCAAGCCCAACAGGGGCACCAACATGAGAACAGAGGACAGCGCCCCCAACAGGCCAGGCCCCGGACAGGAGCCCCTAGAAATGGCCCCTCACCGAGAAGAGGCTCGAGGCCTCTCCAGCCCCTTTGTCCCTCCAGGACCAGGGCCCCCTGGGAACCCTCGTGGGCGCCCTGAAAGGCAAAAGCCAGGGCGGGGCCGAGCCCAGCCTCCAAGCAGTGAGTGGGGAGGGCGGTGGGTGAGGAGGGCGGTGAGTGAGCGCTGCAGACGCAGAATCTGGGCCCGGGACGCTGCCTGAGGCCCTGGGGAAAGCCCCCCAAGCCCCCGCCTGTCCTCCTGCCCACACGCGGCCTTATCTACCCCCCAGCCCCGCCTGAGCCCCATCTCCGCCCGCCCAGAGCCTGGCCTTAGACAGAGGGGACCGGACGGGACCCCTTTGATGACGTGTTTACTTCAGGCACCTTCTGTCCGGTGGGCCAGGCCCCAGGCCTTCCGGACGCCAGGCTGTGTGAGTCGCAGGCCCGCTGAGGCAGCAGCTCAGTTCAGGGCAGGGGTTTCGGGGGGCAATCTGGGTGGAGGGACCTGCCCCGCCCAGAGCCAGAGGGGCGTCCTCCCTGCCCATCGCCCTGCTTCCCTCATTCAGCCCTTGCAGGGCGCTGGGTGCCAGCCAGCGGGCTCAGTCTGGTCCGGGTGCAGAGGCCAGCGCCCCACGGGAGCCCACGGGGTAGCACCCTGCCTGGGATGTACGGGAGAGGTCGGTGGCGTCCTCTGGAGGAGGCTCGGTGGGGTCTGACGCTGTGACCTGGAGCGGGAACTGGGTGGCCAGCTGGGCCCGCAGGCAGGGAGTGGAGGCCGGGGAGGCCCAGGAAGAGGCAGCCCTGCCGGCGGCAGCTCCCGGGGCTGCTTCGGCTCCGCCAGAGCCCAGTGCGGGGGCGGCCAGGTGTGGTCTGGGCCAGGGGCCAGCAACTCCGGGGGCTGGGAGAGCACCAGGCCCCGAGGGACAGGTGGGCCCCCAGCTGCAAGGGCTGAGGGTGAAAGGCGCTGATTCCGTCTCAGGAACGTGGCCACGGGGAGGGGTAAAGGGGGGGAGCTCCTCCGAGGAGTCCGGGTGCAGCAGGCCTTGCAGGGGCTGGGGTGGGTTTGGGGTGGGGGTGACACCCGCGTCCAGGCCCAGGCCCAGGCAGCCCACAGAGATGCCCAGACGCTCCGGAGGACGGCGGGCCTGGGGCCGGCTCAGCCGGGTGGGGAGCAGCCCCAGCGGCCCCCGCGGCTGCGGCGCTGGAAGGGGCTGTCGGGGTAGACGGGCGGCAGCCGGGCGGGGCGGGCGCGGCGGAGGCGGAGGCGGAGGCGGGGGAAGCGCGGGCCCTGCCCTCGGCCCTGCGCGCGGGCCAGCAGCGCCACCTGCTGGCAGGACACTTGCGCCGCGGCGAGCACGGCCGGCTCGGGGTCGCTCTGCAGCTGCCCCAGGTCTGCGGGGGGGGGGAGGGGGCAGGGGTTCAGGCGGGGCGGGGGCTCTCCGGGCCACACGCGCCCAGGACCTGGCGCCGGCACCCCCCTCCGCCCGGCGCCTCCACCGCTCCGGGGCGCACGCCCTGCGCGGGGACCCACCGCGGAACAGGGAGTCCAGCAGGTCCTGGCTGAAGCGGCGGGGGCTGCTGTGGTGGACCAGGAGGCCTGCGGAAGGCAACCCCGTGAGTGCCGCCCGCCCGGCGGGCAGAGCCGGCCCCGCGCCCGCCGCAGGGACCGTGCGCCCCGGTGCTCACCCAGGAGCACGGCCGCGGCCCGGCGCAGGGGCGCCTGCGGGCTCCTCAGGTAGCCCTGGGTCTGGCTCAGGAAGCCGGGCACGTGGCCCGGGTACCACCGCACCTGGGGACAGAGGGCTCGTGGCAGGAGGGCAGCTCTGCCGGAGGGGGGCAGGTGGCCCGGGCTGCGTCTGCTGGGGCGAGCCCGGCGAGCGGTCAGGCCGGAGGGCTTAGACCTGCGCCACCCGGAGGGCGGGGGGCGGAGACTCCGTTTCCGGGTGAGTGGGCCACGCCCCCACCTACCAGGCGGCGGCAGATGCGGCTCAGGGCCTCGGGGCTGTCGTAGTGGGCCACGGCGACCACCTCCTCCAGCAGCCCCCAGCGCAGGGCGCCGGCACAGCGCACCAGCGTCCACTCGGAGCTCTGGGGCGGGGCGGGCGGGGAGGGTCCGAAAGGCGGCAGAGGCCACTGGGTGTGGCCAGTGCCAGGGCTGGAGAAGGCCAGGGCAGGAGCCCCAGGAAACGGGGAGCCCAGGAGGCCTGCGCCCAGGTCCGTGAGGAAGCCCCCCTTGCCCCTGGGAGAGGGTGGGGCTGGGAGGGGCAGTAGGGCGGGGGCGGGAGGGGGAGCTGGGAGGGGTAGTAGGGCGGGGCCGGGAGGGGCAGCGGCCGGGGACAGTCTGGGGGAGGACTGACCTCGGCAGCATCCAGGCTGGGGTCGTGCAGGCGCAGCAGCAGGGGCACCAGGCTCCTGAGCACCAGCTTCCGCAGCGGCCCTCGAAGGCCCACGCGGAGCCCGCCCCGGCCCCGCCGCACCAGCGTCCCCAGGAGCCCGACCGCCGCGGCGCGGACCGGGTCCCTGGCCTGCGAGGGAGGGCGCTGTCAGGGCGGGGGATGGGGTGGGGGTGGGGGTGGAGGGGTGGGGGAGCCGGGGGCGGGCGGGGCGGGGCCCGGGGTCCGGGTGGCGCTCACGTCGTCCAGCAGCGGCGGGAGGCGCGAGCCCAGCTCGGTGCTCAGGCGCCGCACGGGCGCCCGCGGCTGCTGCAGGACCCTCCGCAGCGCGCCCAGCGCGGCGCCCACGAGTCGCGCGTCGCCCTCGCCCAGGGCGCCCAGCAGCGCGGGCAGCAGCGCCCGCCGGTGCCGCACCTGCGGAGGCGGGGTCGTGGGCGGAGCTCGCAGCCGCAGGCCCCGCCGCCCGCCCCGCCGGGCCTCACCTTCCCGCGGTTCAGCGCCAGGTGGCCGAGGCCCAGCAGGCCCAGCCAGCGCACCGTGGGCTCGGGGTCGCGCTGCCAGGCGCGCAGCCGCTCCAGGATGGCCTCCTCCCGCAGGAGCCGCGCGGTGGGCCCGCTCTGCAGCAGCTGGGCGGGGGCGCGGGGTCAGCGCTGGCGGGCCGGTGCCGGCGACCCCCCCCCCCACACACACACCGCGGACACGGCTCACCCCGGTGAAGAAGGCCATGGCCGTGAGGCGCTGGGTGTCATCGGCGCTTTGCAGCCGGGGCAGCAGGTCGGCGAAGAGGCCCCGCAGGTGGTGGTCCGCGTGGGCCACCATGGCGCTGGCGGGAGGTAACGGGGTCTCTCCCGCTACTGTCCTCGCTTGGGAGCAGCTCCCAGCCCGCCCGCCTCCACCCGCCCCGCCCCCGCCCCGCACCTGGCCAGCAGCAGGACCCCCTCCAGGTGGGTGTGGGCTCCGGCCAGCCGCCTCCAGCCTCCCGCCTGCTCCATGCAGGTGACCACCATGCGGCCGCCGTCCCCGGCGAGCAGGGCCTTCAAGGCCTCCACGGCGCAGCTGGAGGCCGGGGACAGGGCGGTGAGGGCGGGCGGCCGGCGGGCAGAGGGCGCGGCCAGCCCTCCCGGCCCCCGCGCCCGCACCTGGAGTGGCCGTGCGGTGGTCCCCGGTCACCGGCGGCCCACCCCTTGTGGGCGCCGGGGGAGCCTGGGCCCCGGGCCAGCGCGTGCAGCTGAGTGACCAGCGCCAGGAGCAGGTGCGAGTAGAAGCCCCGCGTGGCGCCCACGCAGCCGGACACGGACAGCATCTCCCCGAGGGCGCGCGTGGCCTGTGGGAGAAGCCGCCCGCACAGCCCGGCCGGGGCCGCGGGCGCCCGGGCTCCTTACCGACGTGTGTGCCCCTCAGCCCAGGCCCCCTGCCGCCTGGCCGCTGGCCCCGGGCGCTGCCGGCCGGAGTCACCTACTGCCAGTGCCTCCCGCTGGGGTCCCGCCGCGCCCTTCAGCGCCCACAGCAGCTGCACCAGCACCTGCCCGTTCACGCGCTGGTTCCGGCTCAGGCTGCGCCACAGCTCGGCCGCCGCCCTGCGGGCACGGGGCTCCTGAGGCGGGGTCCCTGCGGGTGGCCCCTGAGAGGAGCCGATCAACCACCCGCCCCATGTGCACCCCAGTTCCAGAGGGACAAGCTCAGTGGCATATGTGCTGCCGCCGGGCACGGGGGGGGGGGGGGGGGGGGGCGAGCAGCGGGGAGCCCGTCCCGCGGCGACAGAGACTCCTGCGCCGCCGTGGACAGGCACAGAGCATCCCCCGTGCTGTGACCAGTGAAAGGCTGAGGGTTCGACCCCGGGTCAGGGTACACGCCTAGGCTGTGGGTCCTGTCCCCGGCTGGGGTACCGGTGGAAGGCAACCAGCCGGCCGGTGCTTCTCCTCCACAGTGATGGTTCTCTCCCGCCCGCTCTCCCCTCTGTAAACGTACCCTCACGCGAGGATTTTTAGAGAAACCAACACAGTCCCGTGGCGCGTTGTGACCAGGTAACTTCTGGAGCCGCTCAGACCAGAGAGCCAGGGCGTGGGGCACAGTCGGCACTCAGCCTGCTGACCCGCCTCGCAGCACCCCCGCCCCCAGGGCCCAGGGCCGACCAGGAGGGAAAGTCCAGACCCAAGCCAGGGACCCCGTGCCCAGGCCCGAGGTGGGGGGCACGGATAGAGGAGGCGGAGTGGGGGTGGGTAGGAGCCTCTCCCCCCCAGACAGCCGCCCACGGGGGCCAGACTCCACCAGCGAGTGAGCAGGGGGGAAGCCGCGTGGGGAGGGGCCTGGGCTGCAGCCTGGCGGGGGGGGGGGGGCGGGCGGGCGGGGGGTTACCGGTCCGGGGGCAGAGAGCAGGGCAGCAGAGCGCCCACCACCTCACGGGAGTGCTCCAGGGCCAGCGAGCTCAGCACCCGCAGGGCTGCGTGCCGGAGCCTCCCCTCGGCCAGGCTGGGCACCTGCGCCAGCAGCCCGAGCACCAGGGCCTGCACCTGGCGTGGGAGGGGATGTCAGAGACCGGGCCTCGTGACCCCGGATGTCCACTCTGCCCACTCCAGCCCCCCTCGGAGGGGACGAGGCGGGAGCCTGGGGGGCAGGACGGGGTGGGGGCTCACCTGGTCCTCCAGCCGCTGCCCCCGGGCTTCCAGGGCCGAGGACAGAGTGAGCGCCGTGGCCTGTGTTCCCGAGAGGCCCGCCTCCTCCAGGCAGGCCGCCATGCACAGCGCCAGGTCAGCCAGGGCCCCCTGCTCCCAGGAGCTCGGGGGGGTCTGGAGCGGGCGGGAGGCGGTATGAAGTCCTCTCGCCTCTCCCAGCCCTCCTTCCGGCCCCCTTCCCTCCCCACCCCATCTTGGCCTCATGAAGTCCCTGCTCCCTTGTTCCCCAGACAGGGCAGTCCCCATGCCTGCCCCCAATTGCCCCCCCTTTTCAGATCCCTGCCCCCCAGGCCACCCCCAGCTTTCCTTCCCTCCCACTCACCTGCCGGGGCCCCTCGGGGGCCGGCTCCTGCCTCCGGGGAGGGGAGCCGGGCTCCGGGGCGGCCGTGGGGGAGGCTGCGGCTACACTTCCAGGCTGCGCCTCGGGCTCCAGCTCAGGCTGGGGCTCAGGGCCCTTGGGAGGGGGTCTGGCGGGCTGCCCCTGGTTGGCCTGGATCCCTTCAGCCAGAGCGGTCAGGGTGAGGGCCCCCACAGGGCCTCCCCGGGCCCGGGCCCGGCCCCACACCCCCCCAGCCATGGCTGCCACACAGCCCTCAGCAGGCCCGGCACAGCACCTGCCCAGGGTCCTCCCAGGAAGTCATGCCCGAGCCTGACCTAGAAGCACCCAGGGCGGGCGGGCCGGGCGTGGTGTGTGAGCCTTCGCTCCAAGTATGCGGGGGGTGGGGGAGCCACACGGGTGTCCCCGGGCGTGGCGCCCCAGGACAGACCCAGTGGCCCGGCCGCCAGTGGTGAGTGGCCTAAAGCCTGCGCAGGTGGGTCTGGCTCTGCCCCCAGGGCCCCGATTCCCAGGAGGTGGCCCCTCTGCGAGGGGAGGGCAAGGAGGACCCTGACCCTGACCCCGAGGGGCAGGTGTGGACAGGCCCGCGGAGGCCCAGCCCTGGGCGGACTCAGGTCCAGGCTGAGTCACTGCATTCTGACCCAGCTGGACATCCTGGGACAGGGGGACGGACAGCAGCCTCCGCCTCGGAGCTGGGCACGGCCCTGGGCAGAGGGAAGGGGGCAGGCCTCCCCCGCCTGGCAGGTGACCCTCAGGGCCCTGGACAGTGAGGTGCCCCTCCCCCAGTGCTGGACCTCAGGGTCCTGGGAAGTGGGCGCACAGCCGGGCAGTGGTGACCTGTAGGGACCTGGTTCAGCTGTTTGTGTCTCCATCTCTCCCTGTCACCTCGGCCCAGCGACAGGGCGGGTGCCCCTCAGCGACCCGGAGCCGGAGGAGCTGGTTGGGCCAAATACCTGGCAGTGGCAGCACTCCCGGAAGCGCCCCAGGCAGCACGCCCCACGCCGGTGCCCGCCCGTGTCCCTGCTGCTGGCCAGGCTGGCGAGGCCTGGGCCTTCCTGTGCCCGGCAGGTAGACCCACTCCTGAGCGGTTCCTTTGTGTGTGTGTTTTTCTTTTAAATTAAAAAAATATATATATTTTGATGTTTTACAGAGAGGAAGGGAGAGGGATAGAGTTAGGAATATCGATCAGCTGCCTCCTGCACACGCCCCACTGAGGATGTGCCCACAACTAAGGTACATGCCCTTGACCAGAATCAAACCCGGGACCTTTCAGTCCGCAGGCCGACGCTCTACCACTGAGCCACACCGGTTTTGGCCTCTTTGTGTTTTTCTTTTCTTTTTTTTTTCTTTTTAAATATATTTTACTGATATTTTACAGAGAGGAAGGGAGAGAGATAGAGAGCTAGAAACGTTGATGAGAGAGAAACATTGACCGGCTGCCTCCTGCATGCCCCACTAGGGATGGAGCCTGTGCCCCGACCGGGAACAGAACCACGACCTCCTGGGTCACAGGAGGATGACCAGCCCTGCGTCTCGCCAGCCGGGCCTGAGCAGTTCTTTGGAGTCCAAGCTGCAAAGCCAGCAGGACCGACACTGGCCTGCAGAGGCAGGCTGCCAGAGCCCGGGGCAGAGGGCGCCCAGGCAGAGGGTGCCCGGCCGGTGGTGGGGGCTGGCGCAGCCATGGTGGAGGCGCTGGGCTTCTCCTTGGTGTGGGAAGCGTGGGTCCTGCTGACCCAGAGCCGGGGGTGGGGCCCCAGACGTGTGGGAGCCAGAGGCCACCCTTTGATGCAGGAAACCTGGCAGCTCATCCCCAACCCCTGGCCCCTGCTGCTGAGCCTCCAGCAGGGTGAGGCCTTCACAGCAACTCCCAGGGGGGCACCAGAGCCCCCAGGAACCCCCCAACTCCCGGGAGGGCACCAAGCCCCCAAGGAACCCCCCAACTCCCGGGAGGGCACCAAGCCCCCAAGGAACCCCCCAACTCCCGGGAGGGCACCAAGCCCCCAAGGAACCCCCCAACTCCCGGGAGGACACCAAGCCCCCAAGGAATCCCCCAGCTCCCGGGAGGGCACCAAGCCCCCAAGGAACCCCCCAACTCCCGGGAGGGCACCAGAGCCCCCAGGAACCCCCCAACTCCCGGGAGGGCACCAAGCCCCCAGGAATCCCCCAACTCCCGGGAGGGCACCAAGCCCCCAGGAATCCCCCAACTCCCGGGAGGGCACCAAGCCCCCAGGAATCCCCCAACTCCCGGGAGGGCACCAAGCCCCCAGGAACTCCCCCAACTCCCGGGAGGAACCAGAGCCCCCAGAAACCCCCCAGCTCCCGGGAGGGCACCAAGCCCCCCAGGAAGCCCCCAGCTCCCGGGGGAGGGGCACCAGAGCCCCCAGGAATCCCCCAGCTCCCTGCGCCCTGCCCTGTGCAGCCTCATTCGGCCCCCCAGGGCCCAGCTCTGGAGGCCCAGCTCCGGCCTCAGCAGGCCTTCCTGGGAGCATGACCGCTCCTCTGATGCACCCTCTGAGACGCAGAGGAAAGAAATGACACGGGACACGCTGTCGGGGCAGAGTGACTCGTGTTGATTCGGGCAGCTCCGCGGGGCTCACGGGGAGGCGCCGGCGCTCAGCCTCTGCACCAGCGCCCGCAGCTGCTCCGACAGCGCCACCTGCAGGGCGAGAGGAGCGCTGGCGGCCGTGGGGCGGAGGCGCACGGGGGCCGGGGCTGGCGCTCCACCCACCTGGTACCCGGCGGGCAGCTCCGGCCGCCGGTGGGCGGGGCTGAGCCGGCTCAGGGAGCGCTGGGCGAGGGCTCGGGATTCGGCCAGAGGCGGGAGGGGCTCGCACAGCTGCGGGGAGAGAGGGGCCGGGGTCGGGGTCAGGGTCAGGGCTGGATGTGGGCCGCAGGTGCAGACTAAGCGGCGGCGGAGTCACCTGGCCCTGCTGGACCCAGAGCCGCAGCAGTGGCTCCACGTGCGCCGGCCTCACGGTGCAGGCCTCCTGGGCCCCCCGGGGCCAGACCCTCAGCTCCTGGCCGGCCTGGGGCGCCGGCTCCTCCGCCAACTGCAGCAGGTCCAACAGCGGAGACCCTGTAAGGGGTTAGAATGATGAGGGGTCCTGGCGTGGAGGGGGACCAGAGGTGGGGGCCTCACCATCGGAGCCCAGGAGCCGGAAGGCGGCCTTGCTGCCGGGCAGGGTCTGCTTCTCGGGGTCCTCGGTCAGCTTCATGCGCGGCTGGCCTCCCACGGACACCAGCTGCAAGGACAGGGTGCTGAGAGCCGGGCCCCCTCCCCACCCCAGGACGCCCACGCCCGCCCCAGCGCCCCGTCCCGGCTCTGCCTTGTAGACGCAGCCCAGGGAGGGCTGGCGGGGGCAGGTGACCACGCTGGTGCCAATGCCGATGACATCCACTTCGCTGCCCTAGAAGGGGGAGAGGACGGGCTGTGGGCTCAGCCCCTCCGCAGGCCCAGGCCCTCCTGCTGGGCCACCCGCCCCACCTGCTGGGCCAGCCGCGCCAGCTCCTTCTCGTCAATGTTGTTGCTGACAGCGATGGGCACTGACTCCAGCCAGGGTGCCTGGAACCTGGGGCGGGGCTCAGAAGTTCCTGATTCACCGGGGCTCCCTCCCCGGCCCCGCCCTCCCTCCCCAGCCACGCCCGCCCTGGTCACACCCCTCCTTCCCCGGCCATACTCCTCTTCCTGGCCACGCCCCTCCCACGGGAGGATGTGCCTCAGCCTCGCGGCCGCCGTGACCACGCAGAGCCCTGTCTCCATGGAGGGAGGCCCAGACCAATGTCCTCACTGTGGGAGGGGCAGGGGCAGGGGGCAGGGGGCAGGGGGCAGGGGGCAGGGCCCTCCCTCTCCTTGCCCTTCCCCTGGACTCACTGGGCCGCCGCGGACCGGAAGAGCGCCCGGGCCTCCTGGGCCTGCCGCAGCAGGTCCCCGCTGTCCAGCCGCACGCCCACGGCCCTGTAGCCCAGCTCCCCCAGGGCCAGGGCCACCGCCAGGAAGTTGGGCAGCCCGCTCCTGGCCGGACAAGGGGTCAGGGTGCTGCTGCTTCTCCGCCAGCCCCCCTGTGTGTGTGGGCGGGCGCCCGGCTCACCTCCTCACGCTGTAGGTGTCCAGCAGGCCCTGGAAGGCCCGGGGGAAGGCCAGGGCATAGGCCACAAAGGCCGCCCGCTCCCCGGGGTGCGGGTCCTGCACCCCCAGCCCCAGGTGGGCGCACACGCGCTCCAGCCACGCCTCCACACGGGTGGCCAGGTTCACCCTGGGGCCCTGGCCAGCAGCCGGAGCCAGCATCTGGGGAGAGGGACCAGCCAAGGGTGGGGGCTGAGAGCTCACCCCGGGCGAGGCCGCCTGCCTGCCACCTTCCCGGGGCCACACCGGCTATCTGCCCAGGCGGCTCCCGGGGCCCGGACTGGACCCCCCTCCCGCAGGCCTGGCCTTGGGGGCTGCCCTTGGAGCTTGGGGGGAGAGAAGGGTACTGACCGGGTCTGGAGGCACCTCAGAGCCAGAGAAGGAGGTGACGAAGGAATGCGCCAGGGTGCCCACCACCGGCACGCCGCGCAGCTGTCCAGCCAGCATGTTGCTGCTGCCGTCAAAGCCTGGCGGCAGCGGGCACCGTTGGGGGCTTCAGAGGCGGCCTCAGGCGGGGTCTTCCTCCCCCTCTCCCCTCCCTTCCCGGCCTCACCCCCCAGGTAGCTGTAGGTGGAGGCCGTGAGGCCGCCGTCGGGGCCCTGCGCCCGCCGCAGCCCCATTTCTAGCAGCCGCTTCTCAGGCCCGGCGATGAGGCGGAGCCGCGCCGCGTTGGTGGCAATGAGGCTGCGGGAGCGGGCAGGCGGGGACCAGGGTGAGGCTCAGGACGGCCCCACGACCCGGCCCCCCGGAGCCCGAGCGATGCCACGTCCACCCCCAAAGGCCCGGCCTCCCGGGAGCCCCGGCCCCCCGGGCCACCCCGCCGGGGTGGGGTGCGGGCCCACCTGGCGTAGCTGACCAGGCAGAGGAGCGGCGTCTCCAGCAGCTGCACCACCAGCAGCGGCCCCGACACCTGCAGCAGCGGCACCTGCGGGAGGGTGTCAGCGGCCCGCCCCGCCGCCCTGGCCCCCCGCCCCGCGCAGCCCGCACTCACGCCGGGGAAGGCGAGGGAGCCCTCCGGCAGGGCCCGCACCGTCACCCCGGAGCAGTCAAGGGCCCGGAGGTGCTCGAAGAACGCGGGGTCGGTGTCTGCGGGCAGCACCGAGGCCACGAATCGCAC